ATTCAAGCAGTCTATTAACGTATACACTTTTCATCATATGGGCATACCCAGAAGGCTTATTGAAAGGGCAACTTAGTAGTGCTAAGGAGAGTATTGCAAACTTACAACAAAATGGGACCATCCTAGTACTAAAGATCCCTACCTATTAACAGATCTGCCACAGTTTCATTCTGTGATGTTGGGTGATTCAACTTAACGTCTCTGTACCTCTGTTTTTGCCACCTGTAAAATGTGGAGTATGACACTTTGAGGTCTACAGACAAAGTGTGCAAGCTGAGTTTGAATTATTTTTGCTTTATCTTCTGTTATATAATGAAACATGTTGCTGAAAACAGTTTGCCAATGAAATAGTGAATTTTAAGTAGTGTACATACAATGCATTAACAGGTTAAGATACTAAATAGTTGCTAACGAAGCAAAAATATTTCCTCAGTATAAAACAAGTGTATTGACACAGTCCCTGTGATCCTAGCCATACTATAAAGCCTGTCATTTTCTATTGTCTTATCATGACTTTGCAGGCAATGGAACGAGAGGGCTGATAAGAATTGTTTTATATTTTTTTCTTGTGCTTACTAATGTGTGAATGATAAACATTCATGTCCCTTATAAAGAATGGTTACAACTGAGTTCTCTGAGAGGTTGTCTGTGCAAATCCCACTGTAGTGCACGTGCCCCACTGATGTGAGATCAGAGTCTTTGAGGTTCTGTTGGACCCTGCCTGCTGTGTATGTCTTTGTGTAGCTATACCCAATAACATAAAGGGCAGAGTAGCCACAACTGTCCCTCAGTTCACTTGCTGACTCAGAATCCCAGATAACAAAGACAGAAAAAAGTGGGGATGAAAAGTAAGTCTAGGGATCTACACAGACAACAAACATCTCAGTGAACCATGGTTACTTAAGGTAAGTAACCAGTCTCTCTTTAAGTATGTGTGGCTCCCACTTCCGGTGACTGGAGCATAGTGACGCATTTGAAGGGCGGGATTGAGGAGTCGCAACTGCCACTAACTAAACAGTGACTGTGAGAGGATAATTCCGTGTAGCTGTCTTGCAAAGTTCAGACAGAAAGATGTTTCTGAAGCAGAGGGTTCAGCTTGCACTATACTGGATTGAGTTTAATATTTGAAGCAAGAAAGCTATCAGCCCTCAGATAAGAGACACTACATAATCCATCTTGATATGCTGTGGGAGGAGATGTCTTGCTGCTTAAAAGCAGGAGAGATGGCAATAAAAAGCTGGGGAATCTGTCTGAAAGGCCCTTGCATCCTGGCTAAGGCATTTCTTTTCTCCTAGAGAGGGACAGACTGTTGGAAAGAAATCGGGTAAAGCAGGATTAGCCATGAGAGCTTGAAGTTCATTGATCCTTATGGCTGCTGTAATGGCTCCTAAAAATAGGATGACTCTGACCAGATATCCCAATATTTAAGCCTTTGTTCCGCATCCCAACTGCTGTACTATTCAGGATGCCATTTGCTCTGATATTTGGGTGGGAAGGTGAGTGGTGGGCAGGGGACTGGGGATGAAAAGGCAAGCACCCAAGTAAGCATTGAAGCAAGTGATGGGTGAGGAGGTGAGAATTGAGAGGGAGTGAGGTAGCAAGCAGTGAGAGGGGTGAGGAGGGAAGTGGGGGCAAGGGTGAGCTCTTGAGGTGAGCAGCGAGCCAGCAGTGGGCAAGGGGGTGTCTGGTGGGGAAATGAGGAAGGGAATGGAAGTTGGGGAAGGTGAGAGGAAGCAAGGCACAGGTGGGGAACTGAGGAAGGACAAGTAAGCCAGTGACAGGCAGGGAAGGGGAGGACAAGCAGGGAAGGAATGGAATGTGAAGCAGAAGTGGAGCGTGAGCAAGCCAACTGCACCCCAATGCTGCTGTGATCTGGTCACCCTACCTAAAAAGAATGTTTAGGGAGTGAGGTGGCCACAGCAGCAGTGCCTCCGGTCAGGGCCGCATTATGACTTTTGTGGGCCATAGGCATTTTTGCCTTCGTGGGCCCCTCCCACCATAATAATATCAATATTAAAAATTATTTTTGATATAACTTTAAATACTTCAACATTTTATTTTTTTCTGTTTTAGGTAAAATTTAATAGATTTTCGTGGGCCCTGAAAGTTTCATTTTTTTCTGATGTAAGAAAAAATTTAAATATTTTCCTCAACCCTAAAAGTTCATTTTTTTCTTCTGATTTTAAAATAAATTAAAACATTTTCATGGTCCCCTAAAAGTATTGTGTGTCCTAGGCACAGTGCCTACTGTGCCTAATGGATCAGTCGGCCCTGCCTCCGGTCTCTGGGGCTGACCCAGGACTGCGTGACTGCAGCAGTTACTTCAAGGGGGTGCAAAGCCAGGTAAGTATCTCCCTCATGCCCAGACCCCCATAGTCCATCACTCAATCTCCTCCCTGACCAAGACTACTGTGATGGATAGGAGGGGCACTCGCCATCACCCAGTGACTAAGGGATTAAACTCAGGTAGCTAGCAAGGATGTTGGCAGGGGGCCAGAAGAACCAATGGGGATACAGTGCTGAAATTTGAATTGTATAAGATACCTTGCCTGCTTTGTGTGGGGAAGTTAAGCCTAGAGTTGAGACACAAACAATGATTTAAAACCAGGGAAATGGACTGAACAAGAAAGGGATTGTGATTAAATAAAGAGAAACATATTTAGTCCCAGAATCTAAGTGGGTCCATAAAATCCACTAACTCCAGAATCCCAGAAAAGTAAATCTGGGAAATTCTGAACCTCAGTCTTCCTTGTCCCTTCCCCTTACACCATGAGGCTGGAGCATCAGAGGAGTGAGGTGTCTCAGTAGGGGGCCACATCAGTGAGGGTTGGGGGGGGTTGGAGTTTTTTTGCTTCCCACTTGTGTGGTCCCCAACTGATTTTTCTGTGGGTCAGTGGCCCCTGACCCAAAAAAGGTTCCCCATCCCTACCATAAATAAAGCATTAAAACTTTTGTGTTGGACATAAATTAGAATTTTACTTTATTTAAAATGAAGTTTGGTAAACTAACATGAGAAAGTTAAAATGCTAGCTATAGCTGGTTCAGAAAATATGGTCACTGTATCCAGCCTGCTTCTTTTCTCTCGAGGATCCGTACATAGAAGTGAATAAATCTTTGCATGCCACTTCTGAAAGGTAGCTGACCCGTTCTAGATTTTCAGCAGCTCTAAGAGAATTAATCATAATTAATGGATGATATGCCATTGCAGATAGAAGTAGGAAGATGGAAAATGATATAAGGAGATTTGGGATAGATTGGTATAGAGAAAAATAAGACATAACAGTGGGATTTGAGGGTAGAGGGAGAGTTGATACAAGGGAATTAGGGATGTTAATTTTTTATCAACCAACTAATTGACTAGTTGATGGATTTTCAATTAGTTGATAAGCGGTGGCGCTACAGCTGGATTAGCTCTGGCAGAAGAGCTAACCCCACTGTGGTTCTGCCTTTTAAATGTATTAAGAGCCTGCCAGAAGCCCAGTATGGGGGATCCAGCACAAGCCGGGACAGGTGATTCCTGGCTTGCACTGGGTCCCCCCCCCGCTGTGCTTTAGCTTTTCAAATGTATTAAGAGGCAGCAGGCTCTTATTACGTTTACAAAGCAGAGGTGCAGCATTTGAGACTGGGCATGAGCTGGGAATCAGCTGATTCTGGGCTCACTCCCAGTCCCCGCTATCCGCCTGCCTCCCACGGAGCCAATGCTTGGGGGAATGAGCTTTTAAGCAGGCTCCACCCAGCGCTGGCTCCTGTTCCCCCACTTGCTGCCTCTGCTTTTGCTTATTGGATAGTCAACTAGTCACTTACATCCCTAAAGGGAACAGAATAATGTTAGTCAGATTTGGTCAGATCAATGGTCCATCTAGCACAATAGCCCATCTTCTGACTGTGGCCAGTGCTTCAAAGGGAGACCAGGGCAATTATCAAGTGATTGATTACAGGGGTGGGGAACCTAGATCCAGCCCCTGAGGCTTGGGGCTCCCCTCCAGTATTGGGAAGGTGCTCTAGCCCCCACATTGCTTCTCCATGGGGATAGAGCACATAAAATGTACTAGTTTATCCTTCTCCCCAGGATGGGATGTGTGAGGGAATGTGGGGAGTGTCTTTCTCCTTCTCAGTTTGGGGCCATGTCAGTGAGGGTTTGTTTAGGTTTTTTTTTTTTTTTTTGTTTTTCACTTGTGTCCAGCCCCCCACTGACTTTTCTGGGGGTTCTGTGGGTTAGCAGCCTCTGGCCCAAAAAAGGTACCCCAGTTCTGAATTACATCATCCCATTCCAGCAACTGGCAATCAGAGGGAATCTGGGTTGAAAGGAAAAGATTAGCAATGAACTGAGGGAGGGGGAGTTGGGGAGTAAGAAAAGATGTACAGGCATTTGCCAGAGGATTCAGGAGAATGGAAGATAAATTAGACCAAGGACGTACTGGATGCAAGAAAATTGCATGGGGAGGGGAAACAAGGGGTATTTTGGAAGATGCCAGGGAAAAAGTAAGAGAGCCAAAAGAACTGGGGGCCACCAGGGGATTTAGAGCAACTGGGGGACATGAGGCTTTGGGAAGGGCTCGAAGGATGGGGACCAGGGCCCGGTCATTTGGGGAGGTGGAAGGATGCGGGGCATTAGGGGAGCAGCAGATTGAGGTCCCGGGTGGGGGAGGCCACGCGGAGGTATCTGGGGAGCGACTAGAGACGCAGGGAAGACTTAGAGATGCGCGGGCATTTGGCGGCGGGGGCAGTGCAAGGGGAGCGGGTGCGCGGGCAGGGACAGGAGAGGCGGGGAGCTCGGACACGTAGGGAGGAGGCCAGAGAGGCCGAGGGGGGCGGGAATCAGGCGGCTGCCAGAGTCAGCAGCGAGCGCCTCCAGGTCCGGCGGGGGGGGAGGGGAGCCCTGTCTCCCTCCCTCCTGCCCTGCGCGCCGGCCGGGAAGCCAATGGGAGCGGGGGATCTTAGCGGCCGGGGTGGGGCCGCGTTGCTACAGCAGCGGCAGCCGAGCCGAGCCGGAGCGCGCCATGGAGGAGCTGGAAGGTGAAGGGTGGGGCGCGGGGAACGGAGACCCAGCGGGTCCCAGCCCCGGGGGAGGAGGCGGGAGCCTTGGAGGGCGGGGAGCCGCGCCGGGCCGCTGTGTGTGTCCGGGTCTGGGCGGGGCTGGCTAGGAAGGGGGGTGGGACGAGGAGCGGGGGTGCCTGGGGGAGGGGAATACGAGACCTCAGCTCCGCCTTGGGCACCGCATCCCCCACCCCCGGAGGCAGCCGGACTCCGGAGCCGCCGCGGGGTGGGGGTGCGGGGCCCCTCCCAGTTCCTCCTCCCTGGGGCTCCGCAGGGGCCCCGCCCCGGCCCCCGCGCCGCGGG